TCAAGTGATCCACCAGCCTCGGCCTCCCAAAATGTTGGGCTTACAGGTGTGAGCCACTGCGCCCAGCCTTTTCTCCCTTTCATACCTAGTCCCACAGAAGATTTTACAATTCTCTCTTTTCATACCCACTATTACTACCACCCTTCTACAGACTCATAATCCCTTATTGTGTCCCTTTCACTTATCCCCTTTTGATCATTCTAAACACTTCACCATTTCTGAATAGGCCTTGCCCCTTCAGTTGATTGCCCATTTCACATTGTTGCTCCTTCTGTATGAAACGCCTTTCACTGTTTGTCAGCTAGTAAATTCTCCCATCCTCTGAGCTCCAGCTCCATGTCACCAGTCCAGGGAGCTTTTCCTACCCTACCTTTAGGTTATTCATTTCTTCCTTGTGCTCTCATCATGCTTGGCACATACCTCTCCCTCCCTAGACTCTGAGCCCTTGGAGGACAGGAACTGTGCTCTGTCGCCCAAGCCGGAGTGCAGTGGCATGATCTCAGCTTGCTGCAACCTCTGCCTCCGGGTTCAGGTGATTTTCCTGCTTCAGCCTCCCAAGTAACTGGGACTACAGGCATGCACCAGCACACCCAGCTAATTTTTATATTTTTTAGTAGAGACGAGGTTTCACCATGTCGGCCAGGCTGGTCTCGAACTCCTGACCTCAAGTTATCTGCCTGCCTCGGCCTCCCAAAGTGCTGGAATTACAGGCATGAGCCACTGTGCCTGGCCTGGAACTGTGTCTTATTCATCTTTATGCTCCTTGCCTCCAGCCTAGTGCCTGGCTTGTGGTAGGCCTTGATAAATGTTTGCAGAATACATGCATGCGTGAATGAATGAATGAATGAATGAATGAATGAATGGCTTTGTATTCATCTTCAGGCCATCTTTGTGTATAACAATGACCCATTGGGGGCTGTCTTTGGAGGCCAGAACTAGGCATTGGAAAATCATCGGGTTTCTCCATTTGTGAATCATAACAGATCCACTAAAACCACTTTTTTTTTTTTTTGAGATGGAGTCTCCCTCTGTCACCCAGGCTGGAGTGCAGTGGCGCGATCTCGGCTCACTGGGTTCAAGCGATTCTCCTGCCTCAGCCTCCTGAGTAGCTGGGATTACAGTCACGTACCACCACATCTGGCTAATTTTTGTATTTTCAGTAGAGACGGTTTCACCATGTTGGTCAGGCTGGTCTCGAACTCCTGACGTGGTGCTCCACCTGCCTTGGCCTCCCAAAGTCCTGGGATTACAGGTGTGAGCCACTGCGCCCAGCCTGCTTTTTTAAATTAAAAAACAACAAAAAACAATTGGATCTCCAATATTGCAGAAAACTGTGCTTAGTTTTATGAGGGACTCTCTTCCACCCGGACATTTCCAAAGTGCTGTCAGGTGTGTGAAATCATACTTCTTGGCATATGTTAGCTTATTGTGGATGGGAATTGTTAGACTTACCAATGGGACTGCATAAGGGATGACCCAGCACTTTACCAATAATTGCTTTCCTGTGTCCACTGAGGAGCACCATCCTTTATTTCCCCTTCTGCCTTGACACACCAGAGCGTATTACATATGCATACTCAGCCTGACAGGGCTACTAAGGGTAAAGGTTACATCTCTTACCTGATGTTCACCTTGCCTTGCCTCTGGAACCAAGCACCTGCAGAGTGTTCAACAAACAGGTGTTCCCTGGCTTGATTTCAGCTTAATGTGTGCTTAGGTTTCCTGAAGCTGTCTGGTTGTCACATGTGCCTTGCCCAGGGGATCTGGGTTGCATGGAAATGCATCTGCTGATGATGGTCCCACTCAGAAGTATGGTGAAATTGCCCAGAAGACAGATGTCTGTGTTTGAGTCTAAATTCTGTTGTGTCGGAAGACTAACTGATGGTGATTAAGGGGATCTGAGTTCCAAATCTAACTTTTTTTATTTATTTATTTATTTTTTTGAGACGGAGTCTCGCTCTGTCGCCCAGGCTGGAGTGCAGTGGCCGGATCTCAGCTCACTGCAAGCTCCGCCTCCCGGGTTTACGCCATTCTCCTGCCTCAGCCTCCCGAGTAGCTGGGACTACAGGCGCCCGCCACCTCGCCCGGCTAGTTTTTTGTATTTTTTTAGTAGAGACGGGGTTTCACCGGGTTAGCCAGGATGGTCTCGATCTCCTGACCTCATGATCCGCCCGTCTCGGCCTCCCAAAGTGCTGGGATTACAGGCTTGAGCCACCGCGCCCGGCCTCCAAATCTAACTTTAATGCAATCTGTCTTGTCTGACATTGGAAGTTACGTGATCTTTTCCCTTAGTTTCTCTATTTGTAAAATGGAGACAATGATAGAACCTCCTTGCAAATCGTTGTGTGCATTTCATAAGAAGGTATGTTTAAAGTGTTTAGCACAAGCTTAAGCAAAATAGGGACTCAGTAAATTAAGGTTAGCCATCATCATCATCATTATTTGACACTTTGACCTTTTTGCAACATGAGGTTTTAATACCCCACTGGCCAGCCTGTCAGAATCGTAAACTGGCCTCTGAAATTAGGTGTCAGGGAAAGGCTAAGGCTTTATCTGCCAAGCCTCTCTCCTCTGTCATTATGCTGTCTGACATTATAAATCTCATCTGAATGTCACAAGTCATTTATTACTATCTCTTTGGGTGCTGGAATTTGCTAAGCCCATGGATTCACTTTTTACAGCATTAAAGCAGAAATGTTCCTCAGAGATCGTCTCATCCAATTCACTTGTTTTACAGACTGCAGAAGATACTGAGACCTGAAGGCCTAATGTCATACAGCTCAAGGGTGGCAGAGCTGGAGCTAGACCAGGCCTGCAGATGTGATGGCCCTCCTCTTTCCAATACACACAGTCATTTACCCTGGAGTCATGCTCTTAGAGACTCAGGCTGTGCTTTCCCCGGGTCATGGAGTTCCTCAGAACACCTTCCTCCTTTCTCAGCAGTCGGCTACTTTCTTCCTTTCATGGGCAGCCAGCACTTTGAGGTCACATGACAGAGATCCACATACAGCTCTTTATGGAGAGATTGTGGGACACATACTAGTGCCATTCACCATGGGCCAAGGACCAGCAGCAATCATTACCAGAGCTTCACTCCTCCCCTTCCAGACTGAACAAACTCATCCCTACTTGCACCTTGGAGAGCACTAAGGTTTTTTTTGTGTTTTTGTTTGTTTGTTTTTGAGACGTAGTCTTGATCTGTAGCCCAGGCTGGAGTGCAGTGGTGCAATCTCAGCTCACTACAACCTCCACCTCCCAGGTCCCAGTTCAAGCAATCTCTCCTGCCTCAGCCTCCCAAGTAGCTGGGATTACAAGCATGTGCCACCACACCCAGCTAATTTTTGTATTTTTAGTAGAGATGGGGTTTCACCATGTTGGCCAGGCTGGTCTCAAACACCAGACCTTGTGATACGCCTGCCTCGGCCTCCCAAAGCGCTGGGATTATAGGCGTGAGCCACTGCGCCCCACCTAGAACACTGAGTTTTAAAGAGAATAGAGATTGAGGCCGGGTGCTATGGCTCACACCTGTAATCCCAGCTCTTTGGGAGGCTGAGGCAGGCGGATCACTTGAGGTCAGGAGTTTGAGATCAGCCAGGCCAACATGGTGAAACCCCATCTCTACTAAAAATACAAAAATTAGCTAGGTGTGGTGGCGCATGCCAGTAATCCCAGCTACTTGGGAGGCTGAGGGAGGAGAATCACTTGAACCCAGGAGGCGGAGGTTGCACCACTGCAGTCCAGCCTGGGTGACAGAGCGAGACTCCATCTCAAAAATAAAAAATAAAGATAATTGAGATTGGACTCTTTCCACTGTTTTGCTGTAGTTCTCATTTCATAGGTGAAGAAACTGAGGCTCATGGAGGTTAGGGAATGAGCTGAAGCTCACAAAACTATCAGAGCTTCCATTTCAGCCCAGCTCTCTTTGACTGCAGTGTAGTAGTTAGGGTTAGATTTGTAAAATGGAGACTAGAGTATTTGTAAAGGGCTATTGCTGCAAGGATTAGGTGAGCTCATAAAGGTGGAAGTGCCAACAGAAGAAGAGTCACCTAAGGGAAGAAGAAACTTCTCATTCATCAGATTTTTTGTTTGTTTGTTTGTTTTTCTAAGAGATGAGGTCTTGCTATGTTGCCCACGCTGGAGCTATGTTGCCCACGCTGGATTTGAACTCTTGAGCTCCAGCAATCCTCCCACCTCAGCCTCCTGAGTAGTTGGGACTACAGGTGCACCACCTCACCTATCCTATTCATTTTTATATCACCAGTGCCTGACACATTGTTGATAAATCAATATATTTTTTGAAAATAAGCCTATGAATGTATAACTTAATAAATGGATGAATGAATAAAGAAATGAGCCACCTAGCACAGGTGCCTGGAACACAGGAGGTATTCAGTCAATGTTCCTTTTCCCTCCCTCACTCTGGAGGGTAGAGTCCATATGCGCAGTCTCTGTGCCTGGCACTTGGTAGGCCTGATGAGTGCGTGTAGGTGGAATGAGTGACTCTCAGGAGCTCTGAGTCTTTGAGGCTAGAAGGAAATGTTTGTCTTTTCAGCTACAAGCGGAGGCCAGGGCTTTGAGCTCTGGGAGCTCAGGGAGTGATATGCTACCTCGCCCAGGACTTCCCACCACTGCAGGGTAAGGGCTGCCCATCTTCCAAGTTGACCCTGGCCCAGTAGTTACCCAGACTCAGTGTCAGGCCCGGCTGCATGCACCAGTGGAGGGAAGCAGCAAATCCTTCCAGCTGTAGAACAGCTGGGGATGGGGCTATGGCCACCAGTTAGCAGACAATGTATTCTGCCCAGCCAGACTCAACTTCCTTCCATTCCTCCATCCTGCCTCTCTTTCTCTGTCTTCTCTGGGCTTCAAATCTCAGTCCCCTGTATCTGCTGAGTGAGTAAATGAGCATTGAGGAGAGTGGCTGGCATACAGTAGTTGCTCTGTAGACACTGGTGGAATGAGTGAATGGATCCATGAAAACAGGACTGAAGGAAGAGACAGGCTGACGGATGCATGTCTATTTATTGGCACAGGGTCCTATAAGGGCCAAGACCACACCCTCCCACCCTCTTTTCTGTAAAAATAAACTCTGTTCTTCCTTTTCCCTGCTCTATCTGCTTTCCTGCTTGGTCTAGGCAGAATCAATCACCTGCTAAGGCTTGTGTCCTAAGACACAGGAACCAGTACCCGCTACACATATGCACTTCCCCTCTCAGCCCAGGGAAACGGTGGGCAGCAGGAGGCTTTCAGAGGCCCTTGGGCTTCCACTAGGAGCTGTCAGTGAGGGTCAGCAGCAGCATTGGGAGCAGTGACACAAGGAGCACAGGGTGAGGTGCGGGTAGCCCCTGAGGGTGAGCCAGACAGAGCTGAGTCCACCCTTAAGTACGCACTGAGTGAGCCTGGGGAGAAGTCCAGAAGGTACACCATCCAGGCCTGCAGGTCAGAGTGGGGCAGGCACGGCAGGCCCCATGGCCGCTAGGCTGAGTAAGCTTGGGGCCAGAAGAGGCAGACTCCTTCCCGTGGGAACTGGCCTCCCTGCCCAGACTTCTTCCAGGCAGGGTGACATGGAAAGATGTCACAGTGAATGGTGGGGGCTCTGCTGGAGGCAGGGACACCCCCAAAGCAGAGGCACAATGTGGTGATTGAGGAGGGACTGTACTTGTGTCACCTGTGGTGGGGAGTGAGGGACTGTACTCGTGTTGCCTGTGGTGGGGAGGGACTAGACCCAGCCCAGCTCGCATCTGCTTCCTCCCAACCCAAGAGCAAACAGCTTTGTCGGGAGAGCTGCCCCAGGTCTGGTGACAGCCGGCCATTTCTTCCCTGATCCAGGTCTACCACACCTCACACAGCTGCCCCGGGTTCATGGGGGAGCCGACAGGGCAGCCGAAGTGCCGCAGGAAGTCACGGGAGTTGGAGAGAGTGCCCAGCACGCGGAAGCGGGCAGGGCTGTGGGGGTCGGTCACTAGCCCCTCGTGAGAGCTCTCTGGTGTGCGGACCGAGCACCATACCTGCAGGCCAGGACAGACATGGGGGCATATGGTGTCTAGTGTGGAGCCGGGCCTTAGAGTCGGCTACAGCCGTCCCAGAGACACAAACCACCACCGCTGCAGCCCCTCCCAAGTTCCTTCCAAAATTGCCCTGGACATCGGGCTGCCCAGCATGGACATGACGAGGGGAAAAAGCGGAGCCCCGGAAGCTGCCTGCTGTGGCTGCCCAGTGGAGGTTCTGCCTGAGTCCTTGCTCTGCCACTTACTCTATTCCTGGGCAGCCCCGGACAGGCCACTCTGCGTCCCGAGCTTTAGTTTCCTGCATGCCTTCCTCACAGGAACAGCGTGAGGATCAATGTTTGCCCCCTTTGCCACCCTTTGCCCCACCCTGTGCCCCTCAAGCACGCAACCCTGCCCTTTGAGCTATGTAAAATCCTACCGAGGCATTCTCCTGCTCAGGCCTCTTCAGGCTGCCTTTGTGGGCCCCGGCTGGCCGAGAGGCTCTGGGCACAGGCCTTCCCAGCCCACCTTTCACGCCCCAGCCTCAGCCCCATTCCCCAGCCCCTTTGACACATGCCCCAGACTTCTCCTAATGACATACTCAGGAGGGAGCAGGACAAAGGGGCAGACCCCAGGCCTTCCCGGAGGGTGATACCTGGGCAAATCCCACGAAGAAGAGCTGGTGGTTAGTGAGCCCCACGGCTGGCAGCTGCTGCTCCTCCCCATGCTTTCTTAGCCACGCTTTGTAAGCCTGGGGACAGAACAGTGGGCAGCAAGCCCATCCAGGCCTGCCCCCATCCACCCAGCACCTTTCACCCCAGGCCAGCAGGCCTCAGCCGCTGGAGGGCTGGTCAGGCCACTCACATTGTAGGCAGCCTTCAAACCCCCGTTGTCGGCAATGTTCTCCCCCAGCGTCTGGCGGCCGTTGAGCCTCTCCCCATTGACCTGGTATTGATTGTACTGTTCCTCCATGCAGGCCGTGTGGTTCCGGAAGGCTGCCAGTGACTCATTCTGCCACCAAGGCCGCAGGTTCCCTTCTTTGTCATACTCGCGCCCTAAGGAGAACTCACCTTTGCACCCCACCAAAACCAGACCTCATCTCGGGGGCAGCAGTGCCCCCACCAGCCCTGGTCCATAGACTCCAGGTCCCTTGGGGCTACATCAATGTCCCAAGGCCCTGCAGGAGCCACTGGGAATTCTAGGCTCCAGGGGACGACTCCATGGGCCCCTACCTTGGTCATCAAAGGCATGTGTCAACTCGTGGCCCATGACCACACCGATACCACCAAAGTTCAGGGCCCTGGTAGGTGAGGAATGGCAAGTGAGGACATGGTGGGGGTACTTCTGAATCCCACCTCTAGCCCTGCTCCCAGCTCAGCCACAGGCCCAGGCCCCAGCACCCAGCCCCTCCTGCTTCAGACACACTTGGGGTGGTTGCGGGCATAGAAGGGGGCCTGCAGGATGCCAGCGGGGAAGACGATCTCATTCTTAGTTGGAAGGTAGTAGGCATTCACTGTCTGGGGGGTCATGCTCCACCTGGAGGAGGAAGAGGGAGAGACTGAGGCTCCCGACTCTCCTGACGCTGTTCCCCTCCCAGCAGCCCTGCCCCACCTACCTCCTGCAAGGGCTTGGGGCCTCTGGTCTGGGAGCAATCTTGCCACCCTTTTCCCCCATCCCAGGAAACCTTTCCCCACCTCTCCCGCCGCCCCTAGTGTCTATGTCCGCCCCCTCATTCTCACTGGTCTCGGCTGGGAGGCTTGCGGAGCTGGTCAGCCATCACCTTGGCAGAGAAGTTGTACAAATTCAACATGTTTTGGAAGAAAGAATCTTCAGAAACTTCGTACTATGGGAAAGGTGGGAAGTAGAAAGAGAGCAAGAGAATCCATTGGAGAAGATAATAGCCCCAGTTTGGCTACTCAGTATCTCTCCAAACCTCAGTTTCCTCAACTGTAAAATATCTAGTAAACCATAATCGGCAATATTTAAAGGGCATTTATGTTACGGGTGCTATTTTTTTTTTTTACATACTGCACTCATTTATCTCACAACAACCCTATGAGATAGGCACTAGTAGGACCCCCATTTTACAGAAAATGAAACCGAGGCCTAGAGAGGTTTTGTTAAGGTTACCAAGTTAGGGGTAGAAACAGAATATGATTAGGCTTGACTCCAAATCTTGGCTCGTTAACACTATATTTCACTGCTGTTTGGCCTGCAGCCTGACACAGAGCCAACACTTTAACAATGCTGGTTACCTCCATCTGCCTCTAAAAGAAACCGACGAACACCTCTTTCCCAGTGCTTGAGCCCTAGTTACTAAGCCCAAAGAACAGTGTCCTCTACAGGGCTGAAGTTCAGCACTGATGAGCTCAGGTACTCACCCCATCATAAACATCATCCAGCTCTTTGGGCTCCAGGATAAAGTCTGGGAAACCAATCATATCATAGATGGCGTCTGCCTGAAGAGACCAGGTTAAGGGTTTGTTTCCTTCCCCAGGTTCCTAGCAAAACTGTATCCTTGAATCCCACCTCAAGATGGCGCCCCAACTCTAGCCACCGCTCACTTTCTCCTTGGCTGCCTGGCGGGTCTTCTCATCCATCCAAACCAGCTGTCCCAGGGCCTCCTCAAATGCAGTCCGGATTTCGCTGATCATCCCCTCTGCCTGGGAGGGAGGAGGCAAAGTCAGCCTCCCCCTGCACTGAATGCATCCTTGCCCCGCCCCCCATCCACCCTGGTGCCCCATCCCTGTCCCCCCAGGGGAAATGGGAACGCCTAGACTAATGAAATACAGCTGAGCACCTAGAGAGGACAAGAAGGAAACACCATTTGTAAAGGTACTGGGATTGTGGCTGGCTTTTTTCTTAATTAAATAAACATTTTAATTGACAATAAGTTCATCAAATTAATATCATAATTTAATATAGTGCAATGATTTTTTTTTTTTCGAGACAGAGTCTGGCTGTGTCACCCAGGATGGAGTGCAGTGGCGCGATCTCAGCTCACTGCAACCTCCGCCTCCCGGGTTCAAGCAATTCTCCTGCCTCAGCCTCCCAAGTAGCTAGGATTACAGGCGCCTGCCACCATGCCGGGCTAATTTTTGTATTTTTACTAGAGATGGGGTTTCACCATCTTGGTCAGGTTGGTCTTGAACTCCTGACCACGTGATCCACCCACCTCAGCCTCCCAAAGTGCTGGGATTACAGGCGTGAGCCATCGTGCCCAGCCTAGTGCAATGATTTTTATCTGATTATGAAAAGAGGGCATTCACAGAAAATTTGGAAAACTGAGAATTGAAAAAGAAAACAGACCAGCTATAAATCACTCATTCATAGGTAAGTTCTTTTAACATTTTGATTACCCACTTCTAGAGTTTTTCCCTCCCCTGATATGCACATAAAATATGGAATTATGTTGTATTAGGTATATATTTTTTGTAACCTACTTTTTTCACTGAAAGATATATCAGCTGTTTAAGGATCCTCACAACCCATCCTAACCACAATTTATTTTTCCTTTACCCTATAGTTGGACATTTAACCAGTTCTTATTTTCTGCTATGATAAACAACATTGCCATAAAAACCATAAACATCCTTACAGGTAATACTTTAAGCACATCCATTATAATATCCTAATAAATAAATATTTCTTCTAGTTATATAAACATAAACACATAGACAACTTTAAAGGACGCTTATAATCCCACTGCCCAAAGCAGCACTTCATTTGTTTATGAATTTACATCCAGTTGTTTTTCTTTGTTTTTTTTATTTTTTTTTTGAGACGGAGTCTCGCTCTGTTGCCCAGGCTGGAGTGCAGCGGCGTGATCTCTGCTCACTGCAAGCTCTGCTTCCTGGGTTCACACCATTCTCCTGCCTCAGCCTCCCGAGTAGCTGGGACTACAGGCTCCCGCCACACACCCGCCCCTATTTTTTGCCCCTTTTTTTAAGACGGGGTTTACCATTTAGCCAGGTGGTCTCCATCTACTGACCTCGTGATTCGCCTGCCCTCACGCTCCCAAAGTTGCGGGATTACAGGCGTGACCACCGCGTCCCGCCTTCGTTTTTTTTTTTTTTTTCTTTTTGAGAGAGGGTCTCTCACCTTCGTGCCAAGGCTGGAGTGCACTGCGCACGATTCTCGCCTCACGGCAACCTCCGCTCCTGGGTTCAATGATTCTCCTGCTCAGCTCCCAGGTAGGCTGGGATAAAGGCACCCCGCCACCACACCCGGCTAATTTTTTGTATTTTGTGACAGAGACGGGGTTTCACCATGCTTGGTCGGCTGGTCCGAATTTCTGACCTCGTGATTCATCGCGCCTTGTCACCAAAGTTGTTGGGAATTACCAGCATGAGCCACCACGCCTGCGGCCCCCATTGTTTTCTATATGTCCGCACATACTGAACAGTCAATTGAGGGCATGCTTGAAATAATCTTGTAGACTCACAATTTCTTGCTTTGCCGGTCAATGTGGCTTCACGAAAGGAGCCCAAGCGAAGCCCAGAGGCGTCATCTGTGTTGGAGATGCGGTCTGCCACCTCGGCAACACGGACCTGTTAAGGGACAAAGAGCAGGGCCCCAGAGATGGCTATGTCCTCCCTATAGTCAGCAGCCTTCTCTGTCACTAGGGCTAGCAGCCCTTCTTTAGCTCTGGACACAGAGCTCCGTGGGTTCGCATCAGTCCACATCTTGTCTTTTTTTTGGAGACAGGTCTCAGCTCTTCACCCCAGGCCTGGAGTATACGTGGTGGCAATCACTGCTCACGATGCAACCTCTGTCCCCCGGGGCTTCAAGTGATCCTCCCAACCTCAAGCCTCCCGAAGTAGCTGGGAACCGCAGGCACATGCCCACCATGCCAGGCTATTCTTTTATTTTTAGTAGAGATGGGGTCTCACATGTTCCAGCCCCCTTGGTCTTAACTCCCTGGCCCTCAACGACCTGCCGCTTTGACCTCCCAAGTGCGATTTACAGCAGCCACTGTGACCCGCCCACAACTAATTTTATACCCATCAGTCTCCCATGCAAGGACCGGGATCACTCCCAGCTTCCTCCATCTCCTAACCCACCCATTCAACACTTGACTTTTTTTTTTTGGACAGATCTGCCTCTGCTTGCCCCGAGGCTGGAGGTGCACCTGCCACAATCTCGCATCACTGCCAGCTCCCCGCTCCCAGGGTACACCATTCTCCCGCCCAGCCTCCCAGTAAGCTGGACCTACAGCCCTGCCACCTCGGCCCGGCGCTATGTTTTGTTTTTTTTATTAAGACGGGTTCACCAGGTTCCAGGAAAGGGCTCCGATCTCCTGACCTAGTGATCCGCCCGTCCTTGGGCCCCCAATGCTGGATTACAGCTTAGCCCGCCAGACTTGACTATTTTTTTTTTTTGAGACGGAGTCTCACTCTGTTACCCAGGCTGGAGTGCCGTGGCGCAGTCTCAGTTCACTGCAAGCTCCACCTCCCGGGTTCATGCCATTCTCCTGCCTCAGCCTCCCAAGTAGCTGAGACTAAAGGCACCTGCCACCATGCCCGGCCAAATTTTTTGTATTTTTGGTAGAGATGGGGTTTCACCGTCTTAGCCAGGATGGTTTTGAACTCCTAACTTCAAGTGATCCGCCCACCTTGGCCTCCCAAAGTGCTGAGATTACAGGCATGAGCCACCCCGCCCAGCCTGCAATTGCCTCTTAACTGGACACCCTGACTCCATTCTCATCCTCGTGTCCCTGCTGCTCCCCTCCATCTTCCATTTAGCCACCAGAAATATCATCTCATACATAACCCAATTGTGTTTCTCCTCTCCATGGCTACTCCCATGGAGCCCCATCTGTGAAACAATCAAGGCCGGACTTCTCGACACAATATTCAGGTCCCTTCCCGAGTGCCCCATGCCCACCTTACCAAACCCTGCCTCTCAGTTGCCCTCTTCTCAAGCTCATGCCAGAATATGTGTAAAGCCACCATGCTCCTTTTGGCCTCTAGGAATTTGCACATGGCGTTCCTTGTCCCTGGAATGCCCTTCTCCTCAGCTTTCTTGGTGAACTTTTCCATCACATGGCACCTCTCAGAAAACGCTTCTCTGATGCCCTTCCCCACCAACCCCCCAGGTGAAATGTGCTGTCCCACCTCTGTCCTATAGCACAAAAGTCTTTCACTCAGTGTGAGCACTTATCACCACAAAATATAATGTATTTGTTTACATGTCCACTCCCCCCACTTAATGGGGCATCTTGAAACTAAATACTGCATTATTTATTATATCCTCTCCATCCTCCTCATCGAAGCTGAGTGCCTATACGTACCATATACTGTGTAGATGCTTCACTTATGTTAACTCAGCTAATACTCTTCTTGACAACCCTCCAAGTTATTCCTGCTTTACAGAGCAGAAAATGGAGAGTGTCACTGAGAGTGTCCTGAGAGTCACTGGAGTGACTCTCATGTTTCTTGCATGGGCGACTGACTGGATATAAAATTAGTTGTGGGCTGGGCACGGTGGCTCATGCCTGTAATCCCAGCACTTTCAGAGGTGACATGCCCAAGGTCCTACAGGCTAGAAAATGAATGAGTTGGGGTTGGAACCCAAGTCGGCTTGCTTCCAAATTCTGCGCTTCATAGTATGCACCTGTGCACCATGAGGCACATGGTGCCTGATACACTGAAGGCGTGCAGCATCAGCTAGACTGGATCAGAACGTGGAGGCAAAGTCAGAGAGCCCACCTTCTTAGTGCCATAGAGGGTCTCCAGCAGCTTCTCTTGTGCAGACTCAAAGCGTCGGTCCAGGCTTGAGGTTGTCTTTTGCACTAGGTTCCAGATCAGGTAATTGTTCAGGATGCTGACAACCAGACCAGAAAATAAGAAAAGGGCAGGTGGGATGCCCTTTCCACCCCCCAAACCAGCCCCTAGGAACATGCAGGCTGCAGGAGTCCTGAGAGGCATATGTGGAAGCTGTCCCAGAGTTCCTCTTTGGCCCCGGGGCCACATACCTGCCTGTAGAGGTCAGGTTGGAGAGAGGTGTGGGAACAGAGATCACAGGGAGAACCCTGAAACCCTAGCACAGATGAAAAGCCCATAGGCATTCTGATTTGATGTTTGGAAGGCTCCTGGCATTATCAAATGTTGTTCTGTGTGGCTGGGCCAGTCCACTATGCCCAGCCTTGCTGGAGACCTCCACGGAACCCACCCTCACCTTGGGATCCCCCCACACCTTGGTTCTGTGCGGTTGATGAGCTCTGACACCTGCTGCAAATAATCCATCCCATACACCACCACAGGCTCAGAGTCACTCAACTCCAATGGTGACAGCAAGAAAGACAGGAACTCAAGCCAGTCCATGGAGGGCGCCAGAGCCTGAGAGAAAAAAATCTCAGGCCTTGCCTGCCTGACTCACTTCCAGCAGAACCCTCCCCCACTGTATGCTGGAGCCTGGGAGCCCTTCCCATTGCCATAGCAACAACTACTGGCTTCATGGCGACTCCTTCCTGTAATATACCCTTTTCCAGGCCTGGGCACCTCCAATCTGGGAGCCCAGCCACTTATTATACAAGGATAACCACTACTTGTGACATTCAGCTGGGGCCTAGATATTCAAATATTTTCCTAACAATTGATAAAATACCACTCCCCTGACACCCCACACATACTGGCTTCTCCTCCAGAACCACATCCCACCCCAACTTTTCCATAATCCAACATCTAAAGTGTTAATGGCCTGGCACAGTACCGGTCCTCCAGTAGAAACTTCCACTTCCATCTTTTTTTTTTGAGATGGAGTTTCGCTCTTGTCACCCAAGCTGGAGTACAATGGCATGATCTCAGCTCACTGCAACCTCCGCCTCCCAGGTTCAAGCTTGGCCAGCGCGCTGGTGGCGGGCGGAACTGTACTCCCAGCTACTCGGAGAGGCCTGGGCAGCAGGAGCAATTGCTTGAACCCGAGAGGTGGTAGGTATTGCAATTAGAGCTGCAGATGCCCACTAGCACTCCAGGCCTAGGGCACAGAGATGAGCACCTTAATCTGCAAAAAAAAAAAAATAATATGAAGAATAAACAAAAGAAGTAAAACAATCAATTCTTTAGCCGATGGTGGTAAAGCAGTGTGTCAGAAAATGAACAGGTCATACCCAAAGAAGGCTTCGCAGATCAAGGCAGCAAGAGATAGTGAGGCAGGAGGTTGGTGTAAGCACATAGATAATTCCTTCAGGGCCCTTGGCAGGACTTGTTGGGCTGGGCTCCTGAGGGGTCATCTGGGCCTTGACCAGGTCTCAACTGCTATCTGGACTACATGGACGGAGCTGGGGGATGCTGATGGGTGGGCCCGGCCACCTCCACGGGTAGGGAGCCCACGATGCAGCAGGTGGGCTTGGAGGTGAGGTACAACTGGCCCAACATCACCCGTGGCCCAGCGACCAGCGGCCCCGCGATGAGGAGAAAATCTATCAACCTAAAGATCGAGTGCATTTCGGAGCTTGCAGGTGGGGCAGGCAGGGGATGGAAGAGCATCTGAGAGGGGCTAAAAGCCTGGAACACGAACATCCCAAGCCCAGACTCCCTCCATGCCATCTCTCCAAGGCCAGCCAGCCTTTCCGCTCATTCCCTTGCATTTCTGTGGCTTTCCCAGTTGCAGGCTGAAGGAAAAACATGGTGTCCATTTAGGGCGCGCACCTCTGGTCGCCTTTTCCTTGTTGCCCCTGGCGGATTGGCAGTGGAGCGGGACTTGTGTTAAAAAAATGTGTAACGTTTCTAATTGAATGATGTCCGCACAAAAAACAGATCGAATCAGGCTGGACATGGTGGCTGACAACTGTAAAT